TATTTGTACAAATACTTCTTATATATAGTCCCAGAAGAACTTTGTTTTCTCTACCTTATGTAAGGATCCCTCAATAAAGTTTTGGCTTAGCCAGCGTTAAAAAAAAAAAAAAAAAAATTATAGAGTTATTTGTTTACTAATAATATATTTTAAGAAAAAATTAAAAAGAAAATCAGATTTCAGAAGATAATTCAAGCAAAGAAAATCAAGAAATGCATGAACAGAAAGATATTGAAATTTAAAATACTCTATAGGAAGTAGAAAATAATAAAAATAATCTGGAATTTTAATCAGAAGATATAGGAATAGAAAGATTTATTTTGATAATGAGTGATGTAAATGTAAATAATTAATAAAATATGTAAAAAAAATAATTTTCAATAAATAAATTTTTAAAAATAAATATTTTAATAATAATGTGAACTTATTTTATTATAATTTAAAATTTTCAAAAATCTCAGGGTTCTATATATAAATCTCTACTCTGGAAACTTTTAATGATAATGAAGCATCTCTGGAGTTTTATGTTCAAAAATCTCCAAAGATCTTTCCAAAAAAATTTCTTGATAAAAGTGACAGGAAATAGAGATTCTATTGATAGAAAAAGGCTTATTTTTTATCTTCTTACATTCTATCTTATACTCTCTTAAAGTGCTTACTGTTTTTCGCAATTTTCTTGATGAATTTTGCCTACCTTATTTGATCCTGAATTTTTGATAACACAACATTACCTGGCATCTGATTGATTGACATGAAACATATTAGTAGAAAAATGTAAACAAGCTTCTATTGGTTACCTCATATATTCTGATAATATTATTGATAATTGAAAGAAAAATTAAGAATACAAACTCTTTCATTCCTTCAAATAAAGTTTAACTAAAGCAAAGAAATCATGAGGCTATTAGGATAGGTACTAAATTCCCAAGATAGTGAAAAGGTGATTATTTATTCAAGCCAAAACCTTCAACTTTTTATTATTCTGATCAGACAAAGTATGTAAAGAAAGTTATTTTCTTATTCCAGTCAGGCTATAAGACTGAAAAGTAGAAGAATGTAAAATACTGCCCTTCTCTAGAATTGAAAATAAATTTTCCCAGATGTTATATAATGATATCACAATTAAAACGAATATCAATAAAATTCTTTTAACTAGGTGTGACTGTTGGAAAATATTAGAAGTTACTCAATAAGACAAAAAAGTCACATAAGAATCTGAGATCTATCATTAATCATCTTTTTCTATGCAGGTGGATACAAAATTAAGACTGAAAGAAAGGAAGTATTAAGCAAGATACTAGATCTGAGTAGGTGATAAGTATCTTATACAGTTACAAGAAAATAATTAAGAGCACAGATAGATAAGTTCCTCAGACAGTCAGGAAAAAGAAGGATATTCCAGAAGGGTTGACTTCTAATAAAAAAAGGTTTTTAGTAGAGTTCCTTTAGAGGACATAAAGTATTTTTAATTTTCTTTTTTTTTCATTTTTATGTAATTTATTTGTATATTTTTAAATATTTCTTTTTTCTTTTATTTTTCTTTTCCCTTTTTGTAGTTTTTCAAATTCAATTCCTTGGAGGATAATAAATAGTAACAACCTGTGGGCAATAATGAATAAGTTAGGAGGGTCTTCATCCAAAATTTAGTTCAAAATGAAATATTGTTTTCAAGATTACACTTAGAGTCTGAAGCTTTTTTGAGAATTGAAAGCTATTGATGAGTGTGTCAGTATGAATTTTTTAGTTTAACCATAATGCAATTGCTCTATGTATCTCTATCAGTTTTCTTAATGATTAATAAATACACAGTATTGGCCTGACCATGGGTTAAATAATAATAATAATAATAATAACATTTAATCTTATATTGCATGCAAAAATCCTTTAATAAATGAAGTTAGTCATATAAAATAATTAATTGAACCAAAGAAGATTAAAAACAAATTTTATAAATAGATGAATCCTCTATAAGTACTGATTCTTATGAAAAAAAAATTGAATTTGATATAAATATGAACTTTATAATCCAAGTTGCATGCAACTATTAAAAGTAATCACAAGTTAATTATGATTTGGGGATGTATCAATATATATTATTTATGCCATCTGATTTATATATCTTTTTATATGAATAGAGAAGAATATGGAAATCTTAATTTGGATACTATTTATCAAATAATTAACTTCTGATGAAGGAATACTACAAAAAGACAATGTATCAATTCACAAATGTAATTTTGTGAAAAAATTAAAATATGTGCTTGAAATTATGTCCATAGAATGGCCACCCCAATTGTCGGATCTTAGTCCAATTAAAATATGTGGAAGGAAGTTAAATTTTGGATTAATAAGAATAGAAAACCATGTAATGAATTTGATTTAGAAGAGGCGGTTACTATGCATGGAATAATATCGCATTTGATACAATTAAAAATTTATAGATAGTATTCCTGAACAGGTAAAAGAAGTGATTAAAAAAAAATGTCATGCAACACGTTGGTAAATTTTTTTTTAGGCGGTAAAAATAAAAAATTTGTGATCGATAATTTCGGTCTTATAAAAATCTCCCTAAATGCGGTAATACCCGTCTGTACTTTCTATAAACAGTGCTAAATAAAAATAGGTAAAAAATTTTTAATATAATTTTTTTATGTTTAATGAAGAAAATTTTTATCCAGCTGTTGATTTGATCATCGGTCCATAATCTGATAGGAGTGTACAGATAAATACTTGACACGCTATATAATGGAAATAGTTTTTCGTCTTCTTATAATGCAAGTGCCTTCGACCTCGCATATGAAAAATTAGAATTTGGCTGATAATTTATAATAATGTTGGTATTTATTAAATTTTTTGTATCTTTTCCCTCCAAATTAATGCCATGAAAATGTGAGATCAAAACCAAAATTATTCTGCAAAGAATTTCGCAATGGGGTGATAAAATATTACTTGAAATAAATAAATTACTATTGTGAAGTATTAAATTAACATAAATTATGTTCACTACTTGAAAATTTTGTGATAAATTACAATAGTCAAAGGTTATAAAATAAAATTATAAAAATTTATCTCTTGAATCTAAATTTTCAAGGTTTGGACATCCTCAAAAGAGGGTGTGCTTCGGTATTAAATACGTATTTATCTAAAGAAATAAATGTGGGCGGACTGAACAATAAATATAAATATTTCAAAGTTTCTGCCAGGAAGAAGCTATGAAATAAATATGACATAAGAAGAATTAGGAATGATACAGAGTAAAAATCATAATATTATAATTAAAACCCCAGCTACCTTTCCATTTGATCATTCTGATAGCCTTCTTTAGATGTTACATCAAAGAGCCCAGAATATGCCGCAGGTGTTTTGCACCATTTATTGATAGCCTATTAATTGAATATGTATATCACGTAGAGACTTTGAGGCAATTAGACTTAATAAAGGTCAAATAATTCTTAAATTACCTTCCATATCTTCCAACCTTTTTCTTGATATTTCTTATCACCCGTTACTCGATATAAAATAAATAGACTCTCGACCGTTTCTAAACATAAATAAAAATAATCGCGACAAGACTGTGAATATCATAAATAAAAATCTAATTCAAGTGCATACTTCAATTACCTGGTCTCAGGTAATACTCGGGACCAATTCTCATTAAACCACTAGGAACACCATTTTTTTTGTGTACAGATTCTATCCATTGTTTCTCTTTTTCATTTAATGTATTGTTTGCTGAAATAAACCATATTGACTCGGCTCCTATTCCGGTATGTGTCGCATCATATGACCAATAGCATGTCTCCACTAGCCTCTTGGCGACCTTGAGATCTTCGGGACGGTTAAGCACTTTGGCACCTATCGCTAACATCCCAGGAACAAAACACACCTATATAAAGTTAAAAGTTGTAGTTATAGCAGACTTTTAAATCAATTAAATTCGTAAAATTTTAAATGTATTTACTAGATGATGCATCTGTCCCGAAAATGCATTATAATTCAACTCTCCGAGGAACAACAAATTCGGTCGACCTTCAACCTCACCTTCCTTGATTAAATGAACATGCATGCTGTCGATGGACTCAATATCTAGAATTTTTATTAAATAAATAAGTATTGACTTCATGTTCATTATTATCAGGGTAAATAAAATTATTAATACAAACACATTCGTCGATATTGATCTATTGCTCCGCCAACAAAAATGTATTCCTTGATTAAATACTGCGTTGACAAAAGGAAAAAAAATTAGCAATAAAAACCACAGACTTGAATTTTTGAGGAGGATAAACAATATGTACCTCATAAAAGCTGTCACCTTGGGCACCAAACGATATGTGGCCTATTAAAGGACCAGACGATGAACATAATAAATTAAAAATATTACATAATCTGCTACATAAAAATTCTATTACCTCCGATAAATTCTCCCGTGTCTAGGATATTCCAAAGAACAGTATAAAACAACAGTATGATATAAAGTAAATTTCAGAAAATTATTATTATAAAAACCTTGATCAATCTGTATTGGATAAAATCCTTGAATGGATTTTTTTGCCCTATCAAGGATATCGGTAATATTCTGAACCTTCAATTTTGTAATGAGTTCCATTATTAACTATTTCCGCTGACTTGAATAAAAAAAAAGATTCCGCTCACTTTGTAGAAAAATTCACTATTTCCCGAAAGTTGTGCTAATTTCATAAATTCCAATTGCAAAGTTCCAGCCTGAGATAATATTCCCGGGCTAAGTTGTGGGAAGTTTGGCTCTGTTCTTCCCCTGTTGTTTAAAAAAAATCATATGACTATTACGGCAGACTAGCAATATGAAGGAGCGAAAGTTGAAAGAAAATACCTAGTGAGATTCCAAGTGTTATAAGGTAATCCAGAGGGACTGTTAAAACTTGGTAACAAAGCAGTTCCTAACTCTAATGCTTTTTCTAAAAATATCGAATCTCTAGAGAATTCATAGGCACTCAATAGTCCACCTAGGTATCTAATTGTGGTCTCGAAAACACTAATATCGTTCTCGCTAGTTGTAAAGTTCACCGTTCTCACGAATTCTTTCGCCTGTTCAAACTCTTTTGTCAAATTCATTATCCACAAAGTGTCCAGTGAGTCTATAATCGTCGCGCCCCATCCGTTATAACTATTTCGACTCTTGTTTGTTACTGGCATTAACTCATCATAACCCCATGCATACTTGGTATAACCACGCCAAGCGTGAAGAAATCCCTTTTTTATAGAATTACGTCTTCGTTCTCTGATAAATTTCTCTCTGGCTGTTTCGCCTTTAAACTCGTATTGTATTGCTGGAAGCTCTGTTACATTATACAGATACACTTGTTCTCCGAGCGTATTCGAAATACTACCCGAAGGTTCGTTAAACCATGTTTGAGGGAAATGAATAATCTGAGATCTTTTGTCAACTGTGATGTAATATGAAAACAGTCCGAATACAAGTAGGATTAAAATACCGAGTCGAAGGCGAGTATTTAACCCCCAGGATATTTTACTCAATTTTTCTTGCATTTTCGTAAAGTCACGCTCGCCTTCACCTCCCGAATTTGCCGAATATGATCGTACACGGTCGTACACATAAATATAAAAATTCCGATTGGTTGAAAACGCAGGCAAGTTAATTTGTTAAACTAGTACTAAAAGAACTATTTATTGAGTAAATAAAAAAAAAAAAGTATATAATAAATTAATTTTTTTTTTTTGAGTACCCGTAGCCAGGCTATCAGTTTATTAATCAAGTGAAAACAAAAGTACATTTTCATTTGAGCAGCATGATACATACTACAGTTAAACTATTATTCTAATCTAACTCTGGTAAGTATAAAAGTCTTTAAGTTTGGTTTTGAGGACAATATTTTGCTCCGCAGTGTCTTTGAGTAAAGATCCTTCTAATCCACTGCATCATTGCTAACAGGTTGTCACTGCCATATGTCTGATCAAGCTGCTGAAATATAGGAAACTACAAAAGGATGGATTGAAAAAAGGGAAGGGGTGATATCTAAAAATGTCTAAGTAGACAACAAGAAAATAAAAGAGTAAAATTGAAAAAAAATTTTCTAGCTTCCTCCAAAGACCTGCTTCTCAAGACCTCTTCTCAATAAGAAATGCCTGATTGGGATATCCTTTCTTTTCCTG